TCTTAATACCTAGTTCAATCTCGTTACCGGCAAGTCTCTTTACTCGTTCCGTAATGCATCATCCCGTAACTAACTCATTAGTCACATTGATTGCAAGGCTTATAGTGATGTGCATTACCGAGAGGGCCCAGAGATACCTCTCCGATATTCGGAGTGACAAATCCAAATCTCGATCTATGCCAACTCAAAAAACACCATCGGAGACACCTGTAGAGCATATTTATAATCACCCAGTTACATTGTGATGTTTGATAGCACACAAGGTGTTCCTCCGGTATTCGGGAGTTGCATAATCTCATAGTATGAGGAACATGTATAAGTCATGAAGAAAGCAGTAGCAATGAAACTGTAACGATCATCGTGTTAAGCTAGCGGATGGGTCAAGTCAATCACATCATTCTCTAATGATGTGGCCCCGCTTATCAAATGACAACTCTTTGTCTATGGCTAGGAAACTTAACCATCTTTAATTAACGAGCTAGTCAAGTAGAGGCATACTAGGGACACTCAGTTTTGTCTATGTATTCACACATGTACTAAGTTTCCGGTTAATACAATTCTAGCATGAATAATAAACATTTATCATGATATAAGGAAATATAAATAACAACTTTATTATTGCCTCTAAGGCATATTTCCTTGAGAATGAACCGTGAATTTGTGTTGATTAATGTTGACTATGCTGTGTCAGGTCAAATTCATACATAATGTGTTGCACCACTCCAAACTTTCCTAGTTTTTCCTTTTGTGATTTCGATGAATGTGAGGTCAGTATTATATCAGTGACAAGTGAAATTTTGCCTCTAAAGAAACAAACCATGAAGGAAGATTTGTAAAGAAACAAACCTTGAAGGAAAACTTGTAAGTGCCCCGTTCCATCAAAATGCCTACGAAAGTTTGGACTTTTACCGCTCATCAAAGTTGCATTTGAGCTCGGACGAGCAGAAAAGCACTCTATAGCTACACACGCATCACAATCGTAAGTAGAGTAATCTCAGGAGCTCGTTACGATCGACAGCCAACATGTCGCCAAATGGAAGCAGGTAGTTTGTGCGTACGTGCATGCACATGCCTACATGGTACGTCCGCGCCTAGTGTATTCCAGAAAACGCGGGAGCTCGTCCTCCAACCACTCCCTTGTACACCACCACGAGAATCCCAAGCTAGCCTACATGGCTACATGCACACCACCGTCGCATCTCTGCTAATTTGTCCGTGTCTCCCGCGTGATCTAGCTAGCTTTTTGTCCGTTGCCAGCAACGTACGTGCCGACGCAACGTGACCTCCCGACGGTACACGACACGCCTCACGACGAGCAGGGAGATAAAAAGAGAAATGTGCGCCTCACGGCTAGATCCGCCGCACACCTCACTGGATTCACAAAAACGACGCCTTGGTGGTTTCCGCCGCTCCCTCCCTCCCTCCTCGTGTCGGCCTCAGGTCGTATATAGTAGTAGTACTGTACAAGAATCCACCTCGCTGTCAGTGTCACGGCAAAAAAACAACGGTCGCGACGGCTCATGCTGATGTTTTCCTTGCTTTTGACCGGCCTGGCTTGTTGCTGGCGCGTGTCTTTTCCGTGCTAATATTCGTTGGGCCGTCGGGTTCACACCGTGTCTTCTCATCTCCAATTAGGTTGCTGGGTGTTGCGTCTTGTGTATCACGATTCACGGCGACTCTTTCTGCCTTCGTCTTACCTTTGCCGTCGGATCAAATGGCATAGATTCACTGTTTGTACAAGTCAACAAAAAGAACTGCCGTTAAAACAAATCCAATCATTATGGATGTGTTCCGGCGGAGCTCGATGCTGATCCTAGACCCTGTCCGGGCTATGTGGGCAGAGGAGAGATGCACGAGGAGGCCAGTTCAAAGTTTTTGTCTATCACATAGAGGCTGAAACAGTGACATTTACGCGCTAATATTGCCGGAGTAATTAGCACATGAAGTTGTCGAAAAATTTCAATTCCTTCATATGTCAAAGTTGAAAATCTCAAGGTTCGATGCATTCTTTTTATAAAACTTTTATCTATTCATCTTCAATCATAACAGTACATTGAACACTAAAAATAATTAAAAAATACATCCAGATATGTAGACCACTAGTGACGACTGCAAGCGTTGAAGCAAGCCAAAGGCGCGTCGCCGTCATCGCTCCTCCCTCACTAGAGGGGGGCAAATTGTGCTAGACAGCCGAAAAGTCGTCGTGCTAAGGCCCCATAGAACCAGCGCAACAGAACAACAACCACTGCCTTTAATGAATAGCATAGATCGGAAGGACCCAACCTGAAGACAGACAGACGTACACGAACTATGATCAGATCCGAGCAAATCCACCAAGTACATATCCGCTGTAAACACACCTCCACACGCCCACCTATGATGCTAGACACACCACCGGGATAGGGGCTAAGCGGGGAGAACCTTATTTCATCTTCAGGAGCTGCCGCCATCTCGTCTTCCTAAGCGGGACACAAATCCTAATAAGGCCTCCTTTGGTTTAGAGGAATTTCATAGGAATTCTAGAGGATATGATTCTTATAGGATTTTTTCCTTTAGAGCCCTTTGGTTCATAGGAATGGATTCCTATTCCTACATAGGATTGGTTCCTATCCTCCACATTTCATAGAAAAATAAAAAAGAGCCTAGACTCAATGGAAAAATTCCTTTGATGTCAACCAAATGACATCTTGTTTCCTATTCCTACTCATAGAATTTGAGATACACATCATCTCATTTCCTACAAGATTCCTATTCCTATGATAATCCTATCCTATGAACCAAAAGAGGCCTAAAACTCGAAGAACGTATAAAAATAGAGCCTCCCGCAAGCCATGGTCAGGATCCACCACATCGCCATTGCCCTAAAAAGTCACCGGAGACAAGGCAGATCGACGGTGGCGCTTGCGGAAGGCAAAGAAACCCTGCGACTAAGTATTTTTGTTCAAGGTTCAAATTAGTTTAAGAGGTGAGAATGCGGTAATTATTTATCGACTCGACCATTCGAGGTGATCATAGAGATAGTATGTGTGCGCGAATATTCATAGGTACGAATGTTTAAACAGTTTGTGTAATTTACATCTAGATATTTTCTAAGGATGTCACATCTAAGCTTCCATAAATAACGCAGCAATAAGGAATAAAAAAATTAGAACAAAAAAATAGATCACAAATATAATGGACACAAGGTTAGATGTGACATAATTATGTCATATCTAGATGTGTTCTATACAGACCCATATTTAAATTGGGTGCCTCCTTTTATATTTGAGTTAAATGTACTGGAGGTCCTAAAAGTTTCATCAAGGTGTCACTTTAGTCCTAATTCTTTCAAAATGCACCTTTAGATCCTAATTCTTTAGTAAGTGGTTCACTTGAGGTCCTTTTTCCACGAGTGCTCGTTGACTTGCCCGCGTGGCACGTTGACCCATGCCACGTCGACAAAGGGCCCAACTGGCTGGCAAGGAAAATACACTGGTGATCCTAAAAGTTTCTGAGCAGTCACTTTAGTCCTATTTTTTTTCAAAACGCACGTTTACGTTCTAATTCTATAGTAAGTAGTTCATGTGAGGTCCTTTTTCGCACGATCATTCTATAGCTTGTGGAGGAGGCAACGCTGCCGACGCTGCTGCAATGCTCCTCTTCGTCACTCGCTTCCTTGCCGAGGAGCTTACTGCCCCAGCCATGGTGACGGTGTGGGCATGAGAGAGAGAGGTGGGAAATGTCAAGAGGGGGAGGGTACAAGGGGCTTTCTCTAAAAAAAAAGAACAACCACAACGGCCTCTAAGTTGACATGACATGGGTCAATGCACGCAAGCATGTCAGAGAAAGATCGTGCAAAAAAGGACCCCGCGTGAACCACTTACTATAGAATTAGGATTTAAACATGCATTTTGAAAGAAGTAGGACTAAAGTGACACTGCCTAGAAACTTTTAGGACCTCCAGTGTAATTTTCTCACCTGGCGGTTGGGCCCTATGTCGACGTGGCGTGGGTCAACGCGCCACACGTGCAGGGCAATGAGCGCTCATGGAAAAAGAACCTCGCATGAACCACTTACTAAAGAATGAGGACCTAAAGATGCATTTTGAAAGAATTAGGATTAAAGTGACACCCCGATGAAACTTTTAGGACCGCCCGTGCATTTAACTCTTTATATTTCTCTGAGAAAACTGTGGGTGCTTTGTCGCACCACACACCACCCTCCCCCGCGCTGACGTGGACCGGGAGTAACGGCTCCCCCGCCGTTACCCATCAACCAACGGCGCGCCACCGCCGCTTGGGTTAACTGCGGGGAGCCGTTACCTGTTGACGGCGCCACCGCCCCCGTCCTCCGGGCCGATATTAAAAGCCGCCCACCGTCGAGTGGTGCCGGAGAGCAGAGCAGAAGCGACCGCACGAGCCAGAAAAAAACAACTGCCGCCGGGAGGAGAGCAGAGGAGAAAAATATCCCCAATCTCTCTCGCCTCGCCTCCGATAAACGCTAGCCAGCAGCCTCGCCTGATTGGCGCCGGGAGCCCGCCGGATCGGAGCCTTGGGGCGCGTCGGCTCGCCGGAGGCGGAGGAGCTGTCGGTCGGGCGGGGAATTGCGGCGAGTTTTCGGGTTGCTCCCTGGCCTCCCGGGCGCTCGCCGGCGTCGGATCCGGCCCTGCTCCGGAGGAGAGCGCGGGTCTCGGTTCGGCTCCGCCCCCGATTTGCTCGCCTGGGCTGGTTGACGCGGCTGCGGCGGCGGTGGCGACCGGCGACTGAGGTATGTAAAAGATTGGTGATTCCACTCTCCCGGTTCCTCATTTGAGGTTCCCTTTGATTATTGATGGTGATTCTGCTTCATCCATGTCTCTAATGTTTCCCGTGCGTGTTCTGAGCTGTTCCCCTTCTCCTTTCCTTCAGGCGGCCGCGTCGCGTCGCGTCGATTTGGCGGGCCGTTGCTGCCATTGCGCGAGCCATCCGAAGAGCCAAGGTCGAGCAGCCCGTTCCTGCCATTCCCGGCCTTCCGGCGGCGCGATGCTTCCCAAGGCCCGAATCCACGCGGACCCGGCGCTCGACTTCGAGCTCGATCTCTTCGACTGCCTGCCGGACTCGCTCGTCCTGCTCATCCTCAACAAAGTGGAGGACGTGCGTTCCCTCGGCCGCTGCTCCGCGGCGTCCAAGCGGTTCAACGGGCTCGTGCCCCACGTCCACGACGTCTGCGTCAAGATCGACCGCGTCGTGGCGGTCGACGGCGACGGCGAGGACGCCCTCAACCTGATCTCGCCCAAGCCCCGGAACATCCTCTCCCACTTCCTCAAGCTGATGCTCTTCACGATCATCAAGCCCTTCCACAGCGCGCGCGGCCCCAACGGCGCCGGGCGGCCGCTCTTCCCGCAGCTCGCGCACCACTCGCCGGCGCAGGTGCTCCGGAGCTTCACGCACGTGCGGAACCTCCACATCGAGCTCCCTTCCGGGGATGTCGGCACCGAGGACGGGGTGCTCCTGAAATGGCGGGCAGAGTACGGGAGCACGCTTCAGAACTGTGTCATCCTTGGGGGCACCAGGGTTGACCGCAAGCCTGTTGGCGCAGAGCATGAGCCGTCTTCGGAGGACAACGGGAGCATGCCGGAGTCTTTCTATACCAATGGCGGGCTCAAGCTCCGCGTCGTGTGGACGATCAGCTCCCTCATCGCTGCGTCGACGAGGCATTATCTTCTCCGGTCGATCATCAAGGAGCACCCCACACTTGTGAGCTTGGTGCTGACTGATGCCGATGGCCAGGGCACGCTGACCATGGGAGCAGAGCAGCTGAAGGAGTTCAGAGAGAACCAACTGTCGGCCTCGGCATGCTCCAACAGGACCCAGGTCCCGGCCTGCAACATGAAGCTGAAATACGCGCCATATCTCGAGCTGCCTGGAGGAATTGCGCTGCAGGGTGCTACACTGGTTGCTATCAAGCCCTCCACCGAGGGAAGCAATGGCGGCCATATCAGCCGCAAGGAAACCGACGCATTCATCTCTGGAGCATTTGATGGGCCATTCAAATTCGCCCTGAAGGCGCTGATGAAGAGGCGCACATACCTTCTGGAGATGAATGGCTTCTAGGAGTTCTTCCTGGGTATCTGCTTGCTGGTGCAAGCAAGGGTCGTTTGGCTGCTTTAACTTTTGGTCTGTGTAATAGTCTGTGCTTGTTGTCTCGTGTGTTAGCTCTTTGTACAGTGGTGACATTTCGTTAGCTATATGAAAAACATATCAAATTAGTACATTTTCTCATTGCTCCCCTCTCTAACGACACTCTGATGTGATCTAACCCTCATACAAGCTGCTTTTTGTTGTTATTGCAAAGCTGATTTTTCACTCCCACAGAAGGATTCTGCCAGTTGAGATATCTGAAGAGGCAATGTAGATTTTGACATTTGATGCCTCTACTTTTTTTTAGCCAAACTACATCAAGTAATACCTGTCCGACTGAGAAACCACATGCAGTGTTGGTTTCCTCTTTCCAGTGGCATGGCCCTTGTGCTTATCCATTGTGACTAGGTGGGAGCTTCAGATTCAGATTCAGTCATTTGTTTGAGCTGCATGTGTAAAAACAAATGTTCACAACTTCTCTTATGCTTCCAGGAAATCTGGTCCGAACTTCACAGCAGTTTCACAGAAGGAAGCATACACGAGGCAGCATTAAAAGAGACCAGCCAGATTCTTCTTCCAGGTAGTACATGTTATCCATCTAGGATTGAGAAATGAAAAGGACTAATCTGATGCTGACTGGTAAATTCGTGCAGGGGAACAGCTGCCACCTGATTTGGTTTGCGTATTTATTTTGAAACTGTAGTTACGGTTGCCAGGATGCTTTCCTGAGGTTGACTTTGCTAATAAGTTGGGTATACTACTGCTACTTGTTTACTCTTATCTCCTTTGGGTTGCATGGATATGGCTCTATTCATCTCCATCTACCTTATGGAGTATCGTTGGTAAAAGCAATTGCAATTTTAGATTAGTTATCATTGGTCAATTATGCTTGGCCATGCCATTAATGACAAGATGCAGACTTAAACCATCCCGTTTGATTCGGATCACGATCCAATTAGTAAGAACACATCAATCGTTATCATCTAAAAAAGGCAAGAGCACATAAATAATTTGGCAGTGGAATATCTTACAAGAATGCTTCAGAAGACGTGAACATGTTGTATCCATTCTTATGAGGTTACAACTTTGTGAATAGTTGAGGCCTTCGGATCTTTAGTGGGGCCATTTGTAAGGCTGGCCCAAAAATGATTCCCTACATGTATAGCGTTTGGATTCAACTGGCATGTGTACTTCCCCTAAAATTAATAAGCTGGCATGTGTACTTGTGAATAAACTGATCGTGACTTTGGAGAATCTTTGGATGATGTACTACTCCCTCTGTTTTTATTTACTCTGCATATTAGAGTTGACCGAAGTCAAACTTTCTAATGTTTGACCAAGTTTATAGAAAAGAATATAAATATTTACCATAACAAAATCTATATGATGTGGAAGTACATTCAACAATGAATCTAGTAGTATTGATTTGTTACTATATATGCCAATATTTTTCTTTATAAATTTGGTCAAAGCTTACAAAGTTTGACTTTGACCAAAGCTAATACGCGAACTAAATAAAAACGGAGGGAGTACATGTCTCAAGTGTGTATGTTTTTGGGGGAAATAAGTTAGATTTTATGTTTTTAGCCACTTAACTGTTGCGCAGTTATGTTCAGTTTGGCGTTATTTTTGTTTGCTTGGTAGGCTATTTGTTTAAAAATTTAAATGCACGAGTGATCTTATGATTCACAAAATGTGATTTGGTTTTTGTAGCTCCATGGCAAGGTTTGCATCTTTCTTTGAGAAGGATTTGTTTTTTCGGCAGTTCCTTGCGAAAAGATCGATAGGAGACAAGGAACACCTATTTTTTCTCTCTTTGAGAAGACCCTGAATTTCAGTGTTATTTGAACAGTTACCTAGTTTGAGAAGTTACATCTATTGCCAAAGTAAGCGAGAAGATCTGTCTGGCTGAGAAACCACATGTAGTGTTGGTTTCCTCTTTCTAATGACATTGCTTGCCCTTTGTATTTATCCATTGTCTGTATGGGAGCTTCAGATTCAGATTCATCACTGGTTTGAGCTTGTGTCTGTACCACACTCCAGGGGTAAAAATAATTTTCTCACAACTTCTGGCATGCTTTCAGGACATCTGGTCCAAACTTCACAGCAGTTTCATAGAAGGAAGCATGCACGAGGCAGCATTAAAAGAGACCAGACCGATTCTTCTTCCAGGTAGATGTTATCCATTTGGGACTAAAAAATGAGAAGTACTAATCTGATGCTGATTTTGATCTGTGTATTCATTTTGATACCGTAGTTACAGTTGCCAGGATGTTTCCTGAAGTTGACTTTCCTAATTTGTTAGTTTACGCCTACTCTTATCTCAGGTTTTATGGATATAGTTCTATCGAGTTTATCTAGCTTATGGAGTATGTTGGTAAAAACAACTGCATTGTCAGATTAGTTCTCATTGGTCAATTATCCTTGGCCATGCCATTAATGCCAAGATGCAGACTCAACCCATCCTGTTTGACTCGGATCATGATCCAGTTACATAAATAATTTTGCAGTGGAATATCTTACAAGAATGCTTCAGAAGACATGAACGTGCTGTATCCATTCTTATGTGGTTACAGAAATAATTTGCTCATTGTTTTTGTCAATAATTGAGGCCTTGGGATCTTTAGTGGGGTCATTTGTAAGGCTGGCACAAGAATGACTACATATACAGCATTTGGATTCAGCTGGCATGTGTACTTACCCTAAAAATATTAAGCTGGCATGTGTACTTCCCCTAAAAATAATAAGCTGGCATGTGTACTTGTGAATAAGCTAAACCGATCATGACTTAGGAGAATCTTTGGATAATGTACATCAGTACATGTCTGCCATCTCAAGTGTGTATTTTTTGGAAATAAGTTAGTAGATTATACACTTTCAGCCACCTAATTGTTTTTCAGTTAAGTTCAAGTTGCACGTATTTTGGTTGTTTGGTGGCCTATTCTTTTTAAGAAGTTAAATGAACATCTAATGTATGATTGATCTTATGATTTACAAATGCGATATAGTTTCTGTAGCTCCATGGTAAAGCTAGCTTGCATCTTTCTTTGAGAAGGAGTTGTTTTTCTTTTAGCAATTCCCCGCGAAAAGATCGATCGGAAACTAGGAACACCTTTTTTTCTCTCTCTTTGAGAAGACCATGAATTTCTGTGTTATTTGAACAGTTACCTCTACTGCCAAAATAATCAAATTATCTATGCCTAGTTAGAGCCATTGCCATAATAAGCGAGATGGTGTGAGTAGAAGTGTTTTTAACTATATTTAGAACATGGATTAACAAGAGTATGAGATAGTTACCGTTGATATGGTTCTCCTAGTGGTTTGATCAGATCAGATCAGATCGTGTGTATTATGTGTAATCTGGAAGCTGAGTGGATAAGATGGAGCTATGCGCACCTGGTTGTCAGACTGGCACATCCTGCGTTGATCTGATCCCGGTGCAAGTGGCGAATCTTTTATCCACAGGGGAGGCTTATCAGATCTGTTCCAGTTCTGAATGTTAAAAAATCGACATGTTAAGTCAATTTCTTCAGCAAAGTCAATTTAGATACATCCTTAGAATGAAGGTTTGAGAGCAGACAAGAGCCAGCCAATTTTCCTGCTGGACGGTTTATTGCTTTTTCTTTTTTCTGGAAATACTATCATAGGCCTGCACAGGACATTCTATAGCAGTTTCTGGGTCAGAGCTTCATGGATCAACATATTTTTTTTTGCATTTGAAGTGTTCAAAAGCTACAGTTTTGTTACGCATTCTTTTGGATGAGGATCTTCTCTCCTACAGCTGTCAGCAACATACAAAGTGGTATTTCCCGCCTTTCCGTTCCTGGAACGCCGCCTTGAATTATAATGGCAATCAAATATAATGGAAATTCTTTCTATAACAATCATACATTTCTAAGTGACAATCATACATCCAAAATGTCAAATTGATCCAAAATGTCAAATTGATATTACTCCCTCCGACGACAATTAATATGGATCGAAGGGAGTACTAGCATTATACTCCTACAAGGTACTTATATGAATGTGATACCTGGCACATGTGTGGTACTTTGCAAAAATACCAAACGATCATAAAATAGCACAATAATAAAAGGCATTGGCTTGCGGGTTGACTATCGGGACGGGAGTCTACTCGTGTTGTCACGATCTCACGATCTGGATCGAACGGCGTCAACTACGTTCAGCAAAAATGAATGCAAAAACAATTTGATATGCCACTTACAAATTTCAATTTATATAACCAGTTCTATGTGAGACAATATTGTCTGCATAAAATTTGTTGGCCAAAGCCTTTAATACCATATATCATGTCCTAAAAGACTCGCATTTGCAATCAAAGGAAAATGGATTACAAATATGATTTCATAAGAGCTCAAGTCAACTATATATCTCTGCCAAAGCGCTAAAATGCAAAACAAAATAAAATCAGCACCACACAGTAACGAAGATGTGACACACAATGAGTGAAGCGATTGACGAGAAACATTCTGTGATGCACCAACTTCCAAGTACAGTAAGCATTGCGCCAGTTCAGGCCAGTCAACTAGAGTCTCTATCGATGGACATGAAAGCACTTGCCCCCAAGACCCAGCCTATTCTGTCTTCCTTTTTTACAAGTTTTCATCAACTAATGTGCAGCATCATCACTTTCGATTGCCTTGTAACCCTTTGGGGTCTCGTCGTCTTTTGGCGCGCATATGCTGGATCCACCTCCTTACAAGCCACACAACTTGGAAAATATTGCCTAGGTTTCATCTGTACTTGCCTATCTCCATTTTCTTCTTAAGTGCCTTCTGTCCATGGTATATGAACGAGTCGATGATGCCCGCGACAGTGAAGATCCCTGAGGATCAGGCAGAAAACAGATCAATAAGGCACACTACGTGGAGACCTCGACTAAAAACTCAACACAGTTTTATACAGAACGCAACAGAATACAAATATAAAGACACTTTCTGTACTAAAAGAGATGACAACCTTTAACATGATATAATATGATAAAATAAGGTAGTTTGTGCATGCATAAACTAGAGGCAGTGTTCATACCTCCAACTATAGCACACAGGTTTGTCAGGTAGTGGAGGAAGGATCTATTTTCCTCTGTGAATATCACCTGCACAAGACATTAGCCATACAGCTGGAGTCAAAAACTCAATCATAGTTGCTGAGAGACATGAAGAGCTCAATAGAGTAGCTTCCAATCTTGTGCTCGCTACAAATGGCTAAACTAAACAAAACATATACAAACTACAAAGAGTTAACTTGACAAAATCACGGTTTTGTACCAAGTATCCATGCAAATTGTGGATTTACTCCACTCATATGTACACACCACAGGCACAAACGTATCTTGGTATGTTATTTTACTCTCAGCGCTCACGAGATGGAGGCATTGCTCCTTCCAACAATAGATCAATAATACTATCTTCATATACTTACCGAATCTAAAGGTTATTTCATTAAGTCCAGTTTCATCCTGCAACTCTCTCTGCGGGTATGCAATAACAGCATAATAATGGGTAGTAATAGAGATGCGCATTAGGCTTGACCACAACAAAATTTTGGGAGGGGCATGATTTCCCTGTTCATTCTAAAATAGATAAAGGGATATGATTTAGGTTTTTAGTCCTCAAGTGTGTGTGTGTGCGCGCGCGCGCGTTTTAAAAATAACATAAACAGATGGTGCCATTTGCACAAGTTGCATGTGCAGTGAGAACACATAGGTGTGTACATAGGTGAGAACCGTCACATATTTCTGCGAAAATTCATATGTGCATCTTTGACGTCTTCATTATTTACCTTTATAGGTGAGAAATCATAGAAGAAAAATACCCCGGGTTGGGGTCTCGGTTGAACATTTCCATCTCTAAAGTGCTCCGTTACTGAGAACTGTGAATGAAAGTAACAGTTATCATAAAGGTTGTTAACAGAAAGGTTGAGCATGTAATCATTCAATGAACTCTACTAACTTGGTTTGAATCGATCTTGCGCCCTCTTATATCATTATAAATTGTAGGGACGACCTGGAAAGGAATACCCATTAAATCTTAGATGCATAAACCAAGGGCAGAAGCAAGTGATAGAACTGCAACAAACATGAGTGCAGCAATACCCACTTTTATGAAGTATTGGTATGTCCCATCTGATGCGGGCTGTGTCCACTGAGCACTGTGTTCATGGAACTGGTTAGTACTTGAGGGCAGAATAAAGAAAAAAATATGAAATATTTAAATTTACTTAGGGGAACATGAATGCTCCATATTATTGTGTTCATTGCATGCTGAATGTGCTGGAGGTGTAGACTTACCCATCAAGTGGGTTGACAGCACCAGGGAATTCTGTCCCGAAGGACAGTTTGTTTATTTTGTGAGTAATCTGGTAAAATTACACACATCATATTAGAGAACACTGAAGGCAAACATTTCAATAAACCAAGGAAGAAAGAAAAAAAATTATGTAACCTACTTACATTGAAACCTCCTTCAGCAGTCAGCTCAGGCACATCTACATTTGATTCATAATATCCTTTGCCTGGCGCAAAGTGGAAATTTCCAGCAACTTTACTAACATCTAGAAAGCCATGGACACTACAGCCTTCACCATGTTGGGTTTTAACTCTTTCAACGAAGTCCTCTCTAGCGCACTGCGATAGCCATCATAGACTGTATTAAATCTTAGCCGTTCTTTTCTTGAAGAAAAAAAATCTTAGCAGTTGCAAACAGCAGGCATGCAGAAAGAGAAAGCGCATAAAAAAGTTCTGTTGGACATTATAGGATCCAAGGCATACATTATACAACTCTAGGGGCATGTTGCACCTGCAAGCTTATTGCTTGCAGCATCATGTATTGTCAACATTAGGTCTAACAGAATCAGCCGTCGAATAGTAGAGCATGCCTCAATTTTATCCTCAAAAAGAACCTTGGTGTGTAATTTCCCTTCAACAGTACTCCCTCCGCTCACTATTATAAGCTTTCTGGATATTTTAATATGGACTACATACAGACTGAAATGCGTTACCAAACATCATGTATTGTCAACATTAGGTCTAACAGAATCAGCCGTCAAATAGTAGAGCAAGTCTCAATTTTATATTCAAAAAGAACCTACAGTGTGTAATTTCCCTTCAAAAGTACTCCCTCCGTTCACTATTATAAGATTTCTGGATATTTTAATATGGACTACATACAGACTGAAATGAGTTACCAAACACATTAAAACGTGTCTAACTGGCCACTAGTATGTAAATTAACGCCTGAAAAAGAACAGAGAAGGCTGATGGCTAGCTACGAGCCTATGATACAGAAGGGACGGTATCATATGCAAAGTTGCACATGATGCAGCAGAGTGCATAGCATGCAAATATTTCAGGGATGTGCCATCTCTGTCATTCAAGAGAGCACAGCAAGGTATCCACAATCTTCAACATAGTACCATACAATGGATTTCTTTTTAATGCTAAACAAAAACAAAAACAAAAACTCAAAACAAAGTTTTTTCTGGATATATCCAGGCAAAAAAAATGCCAAAATAATTCATATACCTGGTCGATTAGGTCAGGGTTTGTAAGAGCCCACCCTTTCTTCTTGTAGGCCTCCCTAACTTCTTCACATGAATTACAGCATTGTTCATCTGACTGGGCTCCAAAAAATCACAAGCAGTGCAAAGTTAAAAAGGTAAAACAGATAACAGAAAATGAGATTAACACAGGGAAAACACAAAAGTGTGCGCACCTCCTCCGCACCATAACAGGTGCCACAATATTCCTCGCCTTTGCCAAGCCTTCCACCATGTTTTTGCAATGGTTTCTCGATCTATGAAAAGGATCAATCAAGCATATGCATCAAATGACAAAGTAGAATATAGCCATATGATTAGAGGTTACTTGCTGAGATAAGTAAGAAATATTGGTTAAGACTAGGTTAGCCTTATAATTTCGACGAGCTACAGTTTCATCGCAGATAACAATTTTTTTATCTGAACATAAGACCCTAACGTGGAGAGGAAAAAGAAGGGCATAACCCTAGGCTATGAAACCATGTTAGCAAATATGCAACTTGTTTTCCCCGGAGGCCAAGGGCCAGCATAAATACACAAAGTACAGGTGGAAATATACAGGAAACCCTTTATAACAATGACAAATATCACAGACTATACAAGGAAACTAATATAGATTTTGTATCGAGGTATGTATAATAGAAAAAATATTTCTATGTGGACATATTATTGAGTACCAATTACTCATTGTTAACTCCTTAAGAAACCCATGTTACAGCAGAGAACTACAAAGATGCACATGTGCAAGATATAGGAGCCAGAATGGTTCTCAAATTTCAGTCCCCTGTTTGTAAATATGTACACTTTATTCACACTAAATCCTTACCAAATAATAACAATAGGTATTTATTTCCGGTTGTTCCACTCCCCCAAAAAGGTGATTAACATAGATAGAAAGTAAGGAAGAGGGATTTCTTTTACTCAAATACTTATACTTCAACCACAGTTTCTACGGCTATCTATGGAAACATGTTCCTCAACTCCAAAGGCACTATCACCCATACTAAATTGAACACCTATTCAAGACCTAGAATTTTTAATGAGCTCATCATACTAAGTGAAACTGAGACACCAACCTTTGTTCCACCAATGCCCTCTTTTCTTGATTCAATGACATTACCATGTGAGTCCAATCTTTTCTTTTCAATGTCATGCCTCTAAAACAAGAAATGGAAAGAATAAGATGGCGGATCAGCAGATAAAGCAAGAATTGGCAAAAAAGGAGATGACTGAAGTACGTACAATGTCCTGGTGCTGCTCGCCACTAATATCCCTTGTATCAACACTGAGAAGGGTGCAAGGAATACTCGGGAAAGTAATATCAAACTGCAAAATAGATTTATAGTATTACAATGGATATGAATACCATGTTGCCAAAATATTATACGGAAGTATGCCTTTTAGAGAAACAATTGAATTACGGCAGCAAAAAAACTGAATCAAGTCTAATCGGTACAAGGCAAATACTAACATTTACTCTTAGCCTTTCTCCTCTTGATGTGTCTACCACTAACTTAGTCTCGGTTGCTGAATAATAATACGACCCTGCAAAAATAGCAGACAAATAAATAGTGGCTATTAGAATATTTGTCGTACTTCATTTATTTGAGATAGACTAGCATATGTAGCATTAATGGAAACGGCTAGGGATATAAAGGGTCACGATATTGAAAAAAAGGAAAAAAAATAAGACCAAATGCACAGCAGATTTCATAACTAGACACTGGACAAAAACGCACAACCAAACTTGCCCAACAGAGAAAACCACAACATATTCCAACTGCAAATTTCTGGCAGAACATTGGCATTGACCTCAACGCTTAAACTTTAGTACTTTATATACTGCAAACCCATTCTGGTCAAAATATGTTGACTAAGAAATAAAACCTTTTTACCAGCAGACATTCCAAAGAACATATTGATGGTGCAGGCGTGCTAACCCAAATGACAACCTACTCCCTCCGTTCCGAATTTATATGGTGGCTTAGATTTTCCCGCGGTTCCTAGGTATATTTTCCAAAACTACCCCTCCTAACTCGTGGCACCATTTACTCGAGTATCCTTCAAAATTACCCCCTCACGTGCACTTATTACCCGTTCGTAGTAGCGCGGCCCCTGCACGCGGCCTCAATTACACCAGTGTCACGCGCCGATCCATGCATCGAGCGTCGAGAGAGGGTTAAATTGCCCACCAAACAGCACACGGCCACCAAGCCTTGGTATGCACCAAAGTATGTAAACACCATCGACTCAGGAACAGGGGGAGTATTTCTGAAGACATGATCTGAACCACAGGCAGGAACACAGCAGCAAAGGTATGACCTTTCATGACCACTTAGACATGAAAAACTGAATCTTGTCCCCCACCAAACTGGCAAAACAGAATGGACTAAAACGGAAAAGGTTTTCAGGAATCTTCCAACTGCTCGAGCATTGCAATCTGTGGCAATGACCAGCGCAGCACAGGTAGACATGTCGACCAAAAAGTGGAAGCTTTTCCTTCCCCGGACGGCAAAGACATTGCTTGGCCAGAGAGACCACCTTTGTCGACCTCTCAATGAATTTTACCACCGGCAAACCCAAAAGCATCTCGAAAATCTTGCGCAGCATTCAATCTCAAGCAGAAGGGTAACTACAGGAGCACATCAAATACGCGTCATCGAAATCAAGCCTCGCCCCAATCCGAGCTGAACAACCTGTTAATTCCTAGAGACATCTAGCTAGGACTATAATTCAACATCTTTTCGAGGACCGTGGACTCTTGAATTGCGCATCGCGGCGACGCCATTGCGGGCTGAGGAGGAGGGGAGGCGGCGCTTACTGGTCTCGGAGACGAAGAGGAGCAGCATGACGAGGGCGGAGAGGAGCGTGACGACGCCGCCGGAGAGCGTGCGCTTGTAGAAGTCCTCGTTGACCTTGGGGTAGGCGTCGAGCCCCTTGAGCTTGTGCAGGAGCCCCTCCATCCCTCTTTCTCTTCTCCGCCGCCGCCGCCGACGCCAACGCCGTGGAGACCGCCGGAGGGCAGCAGCTCGCGAACCCTAGTCCTCCCGATCCGAGCCCGTGAGAGCGCGCGCGCGCGTGCGATAGGGTTTGACCGGCGCGAGATTCCGCCGCGTCCGGGTCGGGATTACGAGCGAGCCGAGGCCTCGGGGTAGGGGGTATGGGGGAGGCGGGGAGAAGAGTCGGAGATGATTACGAGGTGGGGGGGACGGACGGGCGGACGCGGTGATGGCGCACGCGCTCCACGTGGCGCGGCGCCGTTGGCCAGCGGCGTCGGAAATGCGTTGGACTCCGCCGACGTGGCAGGCCCGGCTCGGGTCAGGTGGGAAGCCGCCCGCCCGCGGGATCTCTACGACGCGCGGGACCAGCCGCGAATACGTATCGGACTCCGGGTTTCCTACGCAATTGTTTTTGTTCCTAGTACAGTAGTAGTACCAGTATGATTATTATTTCTTTTTTTTTTCGGAAAGTAGGATTATTATTTCAACATTATAGAATCTGAGAGAGTTTCCATTTTGCGACCGATGTGGAAGACGTGACGTGCACCGGCGCACACGATTCGTAGCTGGCCTACTCAGGCCTCTGAACAGAATCCGTTGTGGCAGGTCAGGCGTGCGTGCGTGCGTCTCTGCTGGCATCTGGAACCTTCGGATGGCGTGGTCGGCCGCTTTTTTTTCTTCTTCTTCCCGACGGCTACCGCAGCAACGTCGTGGTCAATTTTGTCGGGCCAAAGGAGATGTGTATGTACCAAAAACACAGGGACCGCCCCCCGCAAAAAAAAAAAACAAAAAAAACACAGGGACCGCAGCAGCCAGTGGAATGTTCACTGAGAAGGATACCATCTGCGAACGTTCTTATGATTCTTTTTTCATAACGCGCGTGGCGATTTCTTCGTAAACACAATGCAGTTTCTGGGAGGAAAGGGTTTTATGCCGTGAAAAATCGCCGTGTTTGCTTGAAGGAATCGTCATGCTCCTGCAGCAATGTAAATCGCCGCGAAAAACATTTGTTTTTACCATGCACCTCCAGCAAGCGTTCGCTGGGTAGCATTATCGGAAACATATCATTGGGTCCGTGTGCGGATGCAATTTTATGTGTGTGCTATTCCCTGCATTGATGGGGACATGGGGTTTTCAGTATATGGTCACCATCATGCGGAAATCACATGGCGTGCCTGCAACCTGACGATCTGGAAATCCGAACCGGTTTCGAAATAGAGGTAGTCATCGTGGAAATCGCATCGGTCGTCCACGATATTCAAGAGCTAAGTAGGGTGTTTAGTTCTGTCGTTTATGCTTCAACTTGCATGCTTGTCTTTTTTTTCTATATACAATGTCAACAATGAGCTTTTTTGGCAACATAGAAGCGTATAGAATTGACTTTTGAAGGGTGATGCCAACACCGCCTATTTGACATGCCATTGTGAATGGGCGGCGACGAAAATTCTCAATCCCTTTGTTTATGG